AAGTTACTTAAAATTTACAACTTACCTTCGATAAAACCGGCAAGTAAATGGAAATTTAACAAGCCGTTCAGTTTCATTAGACAAATAACACCTATGTTAAACTATAGCAACACCAAATTCCTTGCCTTTAAGAAACTCTGTTATAATTTAAGATAACATGTTACAAACTATTTTATGTTGTACTTATCCGTTATTTATGAGTTTGCATTTGTTTCATGTTTCATAATCTAAAAGACATCTGTCAGTTATATGTGTTTTTGTTTAATACTGACTCTTGTTTATAATAATTTTGCATAATTATTATTAAAAATGTCGACACAAAAGCGTCTTCAAAAAACAACAAAATTGCAATACGAGTATTTGCTAAATTCCTCAATAACATGCATGTTATATCATAACAGGTAACGTTAACAAACCTGAAATAACATAACTGTTATTATGATAAAATGGGATACATACTCGGCCTGATTATCTCTTTACCTTTTACATGTTGTTAGGTATATAGTGAACTTTGAATTATTTTAGGTTGCACTAATAATGGGGGTTTCTGGCGCCTGTCGATGCTGCGAATTGACAAATTTGAAAATTAGTGACGTACAGGACATTAGCAGTTACCTACTTGTTTCAATACCTGACACCAAGACGGGCATTTCAAGAAAATTTACAATTATAGGATTTTGCATAATGCTGTTGAAATATGCAGAAAATATATTTCTCTGCGCCCAATTCGCCTAACACAAGACAGATTCTTTTTAAGATACATCAATCAAAAATGTACTTCTCAGCCTGTTGGAATCAACACATTGGCGAAGATACCTCCAATAGTTGCTTCATTCCTGAATATCGCAAATCCAGAAGCATATACTGGCCATTGTATGAGGTGCACTTCAACAACTTTATTTATTTATATTCTTCAAGCAGATATTTGAACTACATAGATTATTTTCTACTTTAAAATGAAAATAAAAACTTACATTTGCTTGAAATAAAACTGTATCTGTGTCCAAATAATTCACTATATAATTGACTATATCATATTTAGTCAAATTGTNCTCTTGTTTATAATAATTTTGCATAATTATTATTAAAAATGTCGACACAAAAGCGTCTTCAAAAAACAACAAAATTGCAATACGAGTATTTGCTAAATTCCTCAATAACATGCATGTTATATCATAACAGGTAACGTTAACAAACCTGAAATAACATAACTGTTATTATGATAAAATGGGATACATACTCGGCCTGATTATCTCTTTACCTTTTACATGTTGTTAGGTATATAGTGAACTTTGAATTATTTTAGGTTGCACTAATAATGGGGGTTTCTGGCGCCTGTCGATGCTGCGAATTGACAAATTTGAAAATTAGTGACGTACAGGACATTAGCAGTTACCTACTTGTTTCAATACCTGACACCAAGACGGGCATTTCAAGAAAATTTACAATTATAGGATTTTGCATAATGCTGTTGAAATATGCAGAAAATATATTTCTCTGCGCCCAATTCGCCTAACACAAGACATATTCTTTTTAAGATACATCAATCAAAAATGTACTTCTCAGCCTGTTGGAATCAACACATTGGCGAAGATACCTCCAATAGTTGCTTCATTCCTGAATATCGCAAATCCAGAAGCATATACTGGCCATTGTATGAGGTGCACTTCAACAACTTTATTTATTTATATTCTTCAAGCAGATATTTGAACTACATAGATTATTTTCTACTTTAAAATGAAAATAAAAACTTACATTTGCTTGAAATAAAACTGTATCTGTGTCCAAATAATTCACTATATAATTGACTATATCATATTTAGTCAAATTGTTTGGATTATCTAAAATCGTATTACAGAGTGTTGTCTAAAAACAATAACATATTATTATTTATAGTGATAAGTATATCTATTTACAACTCACAATATGCATTTTACTTTGAACAATTTTATCCTTTTGAGAATTCCATTCTGTTGCAACAGCAATAGCTAATGCTTCGTTTTCAACAGAGAAAATATTTCCTTTTGGGGTTTTCAATTTTCTTTGATCTAAGATTACTTCAAATTTTCTTTCACTTCGTAATATACTGGTATTTTTATAAAAACGTTTTGGTGGCGCAGCTACAAACAATAAATTTATAATGAATGATTTAAGAAAAGTATCATTTAACTAACCATAGAAACGAACAAAATTATGCTTTATTAAGTTTTTATTAAACAAATTAATATTTGATATACATAAATTTATAATTTTCATTTTTCTTTATTAACATCTTCAAATATAACCTAGTTTTGTGCAGCCAAAGACAAAGAACATGTTTGAAGTACAGACCATAGAAAACGTTAGTACTATATTTTCTATGGTACAGACATAGAACAAAGTTTATAGTAGAGAAAGTACCACAGATAAGATATACTATGGCTATGTTCCGAAATCAGCTGAAAGTACTGTCAGCACGATTTTTACGTTCCGAAAACAAATTTCGCATGCTTTACAGCAGCTTGCATTAGCGGAATAAACAGGGAGACTAGATAAGGAGCGCCGCGCGGCATTATTC